CCCTTCTCCTGTATATATTACTAAATGTAAAAGGAGAAACTTTCGTTTTTCCTTTTGGGCCACCCCGCCTCGGTGGGATACGGCCGGTGTGTTGAAAGAAAGATGGGGTTGTAAAAGAAGTAAATGCTAGGGTGTTCGGGAGAGGGGTGGGATTAAATTATGGGCAATCAAATACAAAATGGGAATTGACACATTTACTTTTTGCTGATGATACTGTGCTTACGGGAGATTCTAAAGAAAAATTGCAAAGGTTAGTGGATGAGTCTGGGAGTGTGTGTAAAGGTAGAAAGTTGAAAGTGAACATAGAAAAGAGTAAGGTGATGAGAGTATCAAATGATTTAGATAAAGAAAAATTGGATATCAAATTGGGGAGGAGGAATATGGAAGAAGTGAATGTTTTCAGATACTTGGGAGTTGACGTGTCGGCGGATGGATTTATGAAGGGTGAGGTTAATCATAGAATTGATGAAGGAAAAAAGGTGAGTGGTGCGTTGAGGTATATGTGGAGTCAAAAAACGTTATCTATGGAGGCAAAGAAAGGAATGTATGAAAGTATAGTAGTACCAACACTCTTATATGGGTGTGAAGCTTGGGTTGTGAATGCAGCAGCGAGGAGGCAGTTGGAGGCAGTGGAGATGTCCTGTCTAAGAGCAATGTGTGGTGTAAATATTATGCAGAAAATTCGGAGTGTGGAAATTAGGAGAAGGTGTGGAGTTAATAAAAGTATTAGTCAGAGGGCTGAAGAGGGGTTGTTGAAGTGGTTTGGTCATTTACAGAGAATGGATCAAAGTAGAATGACATGGAGAGCGTATGAATCTGTAGGGGAAGGAAGGCGGGGTAGGGGTCATCCTCGAAAAGGTTAGAAGGAAGGGGCTTGGACTTCCAGCAGACGTGCATGAGCGTGTTCGATAGGAGTGAATGGAGACGAATGGTATTTGGGACCTGACGATCTGTTGGAGTGTGAGCAGGGTAATATTTAGTGAAGGGATTCAGGGAAACCGGTTATTTTTATATAGCCGGACTTGAGTCCTGGAAATGGGAAATACAATGCCTGCACTCTAAAGGAGGGGTTTGGGATATTAGCAGTTTGGAGGGATATGTCGTGTATCTTTATATGTATATGCTTCTAAACTGTTGCGTTTCTGAGCACCTCTGCAAAAACAGTGATTATGTGTGAGTGAGGTGAAAGTGTTAAATGATGAAGGTATTTTCTTTTTGTGTCACTCTGCCTCAGTGGGAGACGGCCGACTTGTTAAAAAAAAAAAAAAATCCCTGTTTTCCTGCAATAACTAATCCTTCAACATTATTGCTACTCCTTCCTTAGATCTAACTCTATTAGAAACCCCTGACCTAATCCCATTTATTTCTCACCACTGAAACTCTCCTACCCCCTTCAGCTTTGTTTCACTTAGAGCCAGGACATCCAGCTTCTTTTCATTCATAACATCCACAATCATCTTTTTCTTATCATTCGCACTACATCCACTCACTTTCAGACGGTTTTCTTATTGTAATAAAGTTGGTAGAATTACCGACAATATGTAAAGTAAAAGGACACAAGTGCAACTAATGTGACATTTATTGTGGCAACGTTTCACTCTCCAGGAGCTTTATCAAGCCATTGATAAAGCTTGATAAAGCTCCTGGAGAGCGAAACGTTGCCACAATAAATGTCACATTAGTTGCACTTGTGTCCTTTTACTGGTTTTCTTATTATTTTTAGTAAACTGTATGGGACAAGGGGTTACTAGCCCACTGCTCTTGGCATTTTGGTTGACTTTTATAACACACATGACTTACCGAGGAAAGATTCTTATTTCACTTCCCCACGAATATGAAAGAAAAAATAATAAGAACAAGAACTATTAAGATAAAATCAAAGAAAACTCAGATGAATGTTTATGCATAAACGTGTACATGCATGTGTAGTGTGACCTAAGTGAAAAGCTTAATCACCTACCCTACAGTCTGGGATGGAATGTCTGTCATTTGTTCTAACACTTAAATTCACAGCTATGTTTCCAGAAATTTTAAGAAATTTTAAACAAAGACTTTCGTTTTTCTTTTTAGGTCACCCTGCCTTGTTGAGATATGGCCACTTCATTGGAAAAAATAAATTACTTTATTTCTAAATGAAATATATAAAATTTGCAAATTTTACAATGTACTAGTTGTACATTGGTATCAGTGATGACACCAATGTACAACTAGTACATTGGTATCATCACTATTCGTCACTGAGATATACCTGTTATCTTGTGTGTTTGAGACAGAAAAAAAAGACACCAGGCCTCCTACCATCTTTCTTTCTTTCTTTCAACACACCGGCTGTATCCCACCAAGGCGGGGTGGCCCAAAAGGAAAAACGAAAGTTTCTCCTTTTACATTTAGTAATATATACAGGAGAAGAGGTTACTAGCCCCTTGCTCCCGGCATTTTAGTCGCCTCTTACAACACGCATGGCTTACGGAGGAAGAATTCTGTTCCACTTCCCCATGGAGATAAGAGGAAATAAACAAGAATAAGAACTAGAAAGAAAATAGAAGAAAACCCAGAGGGGTGTGTATATATGTGCTTGTACATGTATGTGTAGTGTGACCTAAGTGTAAGTAGAAGTAGCAAGACGTACCTGAAATCTTGCATGTTCATGAGACAGAAAAAAGGACACCAGCAATCCTACCATCATGTAAAACAAATGCAGGCTTCTGTCTCTCACTCATTTAGTAGGACAGTAGTACCTCCCTGGGCAGTTGCTGATGCACAAGAATATTGTCTTTACTTCTGAGATTCCAACATACTTCGTAACTATCTCACCAGGAATAGACCTAACAAACTACACAAATGAACACAGAAGTTTACCTGATCCTATGTGGAGACTGTGATAGTTTACACTAGTTAGACTTCTAGATGTTTGGACACCACAATCAGTGAACACAAACATGCATGTAGAAGAGATAACATGAACAATACACAGGTTTACACAGGAGCTTACATGGACACATCATGAAACGGAACAGTGCCAAAGTGATCATAAAGGAAAAGTTCTAGAAACAAAAAGTTTTTGGAATCCTCAATCACTGTTACATCCAACAAGTTCTGGCTCAGTTTTTAAAATGTCATGACACTGTAATCAAATGAAGTCACACATCCACTAGAATGTCTCCTTCCACACCAACATGACCACTGCAAATATTCATCACTTTATGCCAGAGTGACCACTGCTACTATTCATCACTGCATGTCAACATGACCACTGCTACTATTCATCACTGCATGTCAACATGACCACTGCTACTATTCATCACTTCATGCCAAAGTGACCACTGCTACTATTCATCACTGCATGTCAAACTTACAACCAGTACCACCTCCCTGATTACTCTATGTAAGTATTCTTTCACTTGTCTCTGTATTAAATTGGTAAGCCCCTGACAAAATAATTCTTAAATAAAAATACCCAGATGTTGTACATGTATTACTCACCATCTTATTGGTATTATAAACCTCTGATCTAGTTATTACCATATCAGATGTGTAAAAGCCAGTTTGGGATCAAAAAGCTTAATCACCTACCCTACAGTCTGAGATGGTATGTCTGTCATTTGTTCTAACACTTAAATTCACAGCTGTGTTTCCAAGCTGGTAATTCTTTGCAACTTGCTACTGACGAGTGCTTCAAACAAACTTCAATTTTCAGAGAAATGCAAATTTTATAAGAAAATAATTTATGAATATGTATTAAAATTAACCTAGGTAGTAGGTTGGTAAACAGCAACCGCCCAGGGAGGCACTACCGTCCTGCCAAGTGAGTGTACAACGAAAACCTGTAATTGTTTTACATGATGGTAGGATTGCTGGTGTCTTTTGTCTGTCTCATAAATATGCAAGATTTCAGGTATGTCTTGCTATTTCTACTTGCACTTAGGTCACACTACACATACATGTACAAGCATATATATACACACCCCTCTAGGTATTCTTCTATTTTCTTTCTAGTTCTTGTTCTTGTTTATTTCCTCTTATCTCCATGGGGAAGTGGAACAGAATTCTTCCTCCGTAAGCCATGCGTGTTGTAAGAGGCGACTAAAATGCCGGGAGCAAGGGGCTAGTAACCCCTTCTCCCGTATAAATTACTAAATTTAAGAGAAATTTTCGTTTTCCTTTTTGGGCCACCCTGCCTTGGTGGGATACGGCCGGTGTGTTGAACGAAAGAAGTATTGAAGTTAAGGAAAATTTCATTTAGAAATAAAGTAATTTATTTTTTCCAATGAAGTGGCCATATCCCACCAAGGCAGGGTGACCTAAAAAGAAAAACGAAAGTATTTCTTTTAAAATTTCTTAATTTATACCAGAGAAGGGGTTACTATCCCCTTGCCTTTGGCATTTTAGCCGCCTCATACAACACACATGGCTTGCGGAGAAAAAATTCTTCTCCACTTGCCCATGGAGAAAAATATGCATTTAATATGTATAGCAGATTATGAGTTGCAAAACATTTTGAATTTCCCTCAAAACTTTTTTTATATATAAAAACATTAACACTTGTCAACTCTCCAAACAGATGAAGATCTGACAAAGCTCTCATGCATCTATAAGGATAGTTAATAAGAAGAGAATCATTATTCACTCTAAGTGGTCATCCTTCATAAGCTAAGAATATACTCTAAGACCCAAATTACATTCCAGCTGAGATAACTGCACACAAGATATATAAATTAAGAAAAAAAGATTAATACGTGAAATATGCAGATATAAGTACCATAACCAAGCAGTTGAACATAACCTTAAACCAAAGTACTGGCAAACAAACACGAAGTCACACTTTTTAATGCATAATTAACAAAGACTGGTAATGTTTCATGAACAAACTGCAAAATCATATTACAATTACAACAAAAACACACAAGGTGATCACATTGAAAAATGACTTTTTCTCTTTGAAAACTAAAATCATTAATGAATGCGTGTTTGTCAGCTGTGAAAATGAGTGCAAAACTGACCCCTGAGAGGGCAGCGGGTCAGAAGGGGTTGCTTTGTTGCCCTCCCCTGTTGTGGTGGTTGTGGTGGTAGCCAGAGCGGAGATGGCTACACCTTGAAGGGAGGTGGTGGTGGTTGTGGTAGTTGTGGTAGTATTGGAGGAAGGAGGGTTGGTGCAGACGGAGGAGTCGGAAGCTGACCGGGAAAGGGATTCGTCGCTGAGGGAGGTGCGATGGGATGTGACAGAGGAACGAGGAGAGGCTCCTCCATTGTGATGTGGTGACAGGACACTACTGTGATGCCGCGCCAGTGAGGCATTGGGAGTAGATGGTCCACCCGATGCTATCCCACCACCAGGAATATCAATATCTGCATCTTCTAACATGGCCTGATAACGTTGGAGATCTGCACGTAGCTTCTCAATCCTTTGGCAGGAATCATTGAGCTGACCCATTATACTCATTGGGTCACCAAGAGAGGGGTTTCCCTCGTATACTTCTTTCATCTTTAAGAGACCATCCCTGAAAAAGCAACAGAAATTAAAATAATGATAAGCTTTTAGATGTATCAAGTTACATTAAGAACAAGTGCTATTTAAAAACGTTAATAAGACCTCTTATCTTTATCAGATAAAGCTGAAGCACCTACTTCTACAGTTTGTGAGATGCAAGTAACTGGGAAGATGAGAGAACATGAATATACTAACAAAATTTTTAAAGAAAAAAGAAAAATTATCCTGATCACTTTATACTGTACTACAAAATTTCATGAGTGCATTTTTGCCAGACTCATTTTCTTATGGGACTCAAAATATTCACCCACTGACAAAAGTAAACATGACATATTATCATATCCGAAATTCAATTCTTTTCATTAACCCTTTGACTGTTTTGGTCGTATATATACGTCTTACGAGGCACCGTTTTTGACATGTATACTCATAAATTCTAGCGGCTTCAAATCAAGCAGGAGAAAGCTGGTAGGCCCACATGTGAGAGAATGGGTCTGTGTGGTCAGTGGGCACCATATAAAAAAAATCCTGCAGCATGCAGTGCATAATGAGGAAAAAAAAAACTGACCATTTTTTTTAATTAAAATGCTGACTTTGTGGTTTATTTTCGTATAGTATTTATGGTTGTATTTTCGTTTTCTTGGTCTCATTTGATAGAATGGAAAATATATTATAGAAATAGAGGTGATTTTGATTGGTTTTACTATGAAAATAACCTTGAAATGGAGCTCAATGTAGGGGAAATGTTTGATTTTTGCTAATGTTCAAAAGTAAACAAATGATGTCATTTTCCAATAAATGTCCAACTAGCCATTCTAATATGCAGTCATGAATGGATTGACACTATTTATACAATTATTACAATATTGCAGTAGTCTGCATAACAGTAAATCTTCTATTTTTTGTTTGAATAAAAATTCAAAATAGACAGCAAGAGTAATATCAGAGGGGCCTGGAGACGTGACTGATAAGCAAATAAAATGTTATTTTAGAGCCAGGAATATCTGTATTGTTCATTCTAGACCCTATTTTGAAATTGTCATATATTTTTAATTTTCGTGAAATTGGCCAAATTGCAAATTTCTGACCACATTATTGGGTAGTTGAAATCGGTAAATGGGCAGTTTTTTGTACTCAATCGTTAGAAAAAATGGAGTTCTAAAGAAATAGCTATGACTTTGGTCGACTGGAACAATGGAATTAGCCGAAAATAGGGCTCAAAGTAGGCGAAATCGCCGATTCATAAATATCGCCGAGGTCGCTAAGTTTATGAGAGCGTAATTCCGTCAGTTTTCCATCAAATTTCGTTCTTTTGGTGTCATTACAATTGGGAAAAGATTCTCTATCATTTCATAAGAAAAAATATTTTTTTTTTGGAGGGGGAAATTTTGCAACACCAGGAAACACCTCAGGATTTGGGGTTGCGACAGTCAAGGGGTTAAAAATTGTTACCAGTCTAGTTGTCACTTGTACTAAACTACGTAACTTATAAATCCTGCTAAACCATCAGAACAATGTGCCTACACAAATACCCAAATGACTCATTCAGCAATAACTTGAAACTGTCATACACATATTTTTTCACATTACAATTAATACTTATCTAGAATCTAGAAAATTTATCATATGTCACCTATCTATTAACATAAATTCTTTGATATTAACACAGCTCAAACAATTTAATCAATACTGTATATGCCTCATTAGCATGTGATTTTTTTCATTTACTTTACCTGGAGTATACATTGAGGGTGTTCTGGGAGTCAATGCCCCTGCAGCCTGGTCTATGACTAGGCTGTTACTGCCAGCTGTATGCCAACTGACATATGAACCACAACCCAGCTGGGCAGGTACTGACTTTTAGTGCTTGTCCAGCTCCCTCTCGAAGACAGCCTGGGGTCTTTTGATACTCTGCCTTATGTATGCTGGGAGGCAGTTGAACAGTCTTGGACTCCTGACACTTACTGTGTTGTCTTTTAGTGTATTCATGGCACCCGTTTTTCACTGGGGGTACGTTGCACCGCCTGCCAAGACTTTTGCTTTAGCAGGGGAGTGATTTCCATGTGCAGATTTGACACCAGTCCTTCTAGGATTTTCCATATGTACAATATAAAGTTTCTTTCTTGCCTGCATTCCAAAGAGTACAGGTCAAGGGGCTTGAACCATTTACAAATAATTGAGATGCCTTACTGTACACTTAGTATATGTGCAATGAAAGTTCTCTGTACAGCCTCTCCTCACTTAACAACAGAGTCAGTAAATGAATTCATCACCAAGTGAGGAGCATACTAAAGTGGTAGTGGGTTTGAGTTGACTATCTTGGATATTGTTTTAATGTCACCTCTGCACCATTGATAACACTTCTGGTATATTTTTAAATGTTTAAACAGTAGTGTACTGTATACTGTAATAAATAGAATATAAGAAATCAGCTCTAATATACACTACTAAGGTATGCATACTGGTCAGAGAGCCCATCATAAGTCTGAGGTGATGGTAAACGAGTGCATCTTTAACCCTTTCAGGGTCGAGACCCCTGATCCTTAACTCTTAAATTGTCCAAACGTAGATCTGCGTTTGTACCACTAGCGCTCCAAATGTAGATTTACATTATATTTTTCCTGCTTCCAAATTTGGCATGATTGGCCTGAGATGCCTGGTCAGTATAGAATGGGTCTTAATACTCGGTGTACGCAGTAATAAAAAATCTGGGACCACTTAGTACCTTGTGGGAGCACCAGTTCAACTGAGTGCAAGCTAGAGCAAATAGCATGGCAAACACCAGGGATTCACTGATGATATGTCATATTAACACTCACCTTTTAAGAGGAAAGTGATGGATGTGCCCATAAGTGGTCGAGGAAATATCAAAAACCTCGATAATAACCCATGTGTAACATTTGTGCAACATCATTTTCTTTTTGATACCACTGGTAGTGTCATCCTGCCCGAATGTCCAATAACCTATGCCCTAAGTAAAGAGAAACGATTCTGGAACGTGTAATATGTATTCGGCAGGCTGGCCAACTGGGTGGCTGGCTGGCTGGCCGGCAGGCCGGCCGGCTGGCTGGCTGGCTGGCTGGCTGGCTGGCTGGCTGGCTGGCTGGCTGGCTGACTTTACTGTCTCTCTGTCTGTATCTGTCTCTGTCTCTATCTCTGTCTCTGTCTCTCTCTCACATGAACACATAAGGACAATTGTTATACTGAGTGTAAATTACCTAGGATAACCCAAAAATTCCAGGCAAAGTGCTATACAGTGCTTGTAGATATAAGGCATAATAAGCATGACTGGCAAGTAATACACATTTTCACAAATCAGACATGGCGACTGCATCGTGTGTAATACCTGTTGGTTTACGAGTTGCTCCCTGAGACTGAGAGACAAGCAGACAGAAAGACACACACACACACAGGCAGACAGAAAGGCACACACACACACACAGGCAAACAGAAAGACAGACACACACAGGCAGACAGAAAGACCAAGACACAGGCAGATAGAAAGACAGGCACACACAGGCAGACAGAAAGACAGATAAGCAGAGCTAGGCAGACAGACAGACAATATGTTTGTGTGTAACAGTGAAAACAAATAAAGCCAGGGTTCCCTGCAGCAGTGCACAATCATCAAGTGCCACTCACTCCATTCCTGCATTGTCAGCAGTTTAGTGACACTCGTCATAACACCATGTTTCAAGGAGTTTCATATATACTCCAGCATGTCTAAAACATTGCTGAGACCTATAAATACTTTGTATATATTTCTAGACAATAGTAAATGACCAAGGCAGGTGAAAATTTTCACCTGTTGGTGTGATTGTGGCTATCTGAGTAATATTTCAGTACCTAATATTAGTGTCAGAACAAAGATTGAATGTGAAATCATAAAAACTATTATAAACTGTAATTATCAGAACATAAAAATTATATAAATTCAAATAAAAACGAGAAAAAAGGTATATCAGCAACAATTCTGCAAGCAGCAAGACTCGATGTTGCAGTCAGGTGAGCATCCAGCACCAACTTCGCAGTCTTGTATATCTGTAAGTACTGGTCCTAATTTTTTTTTTTGGCCTTACTACACAGAAAATGGCCCTCTTTAGTTAAAAAAAAATAAAAATATTCAGAGCACTGGGCGAGTGAACGTAGATCTACGTTTGGACAGTTTAACGGTAAACCCACTTTCTGGGTCGAAAAATATTTGAAAAAAAAAAAAAGAAAATTATGTTTTTCTTACCAAAATCTTAAGAATATTTTTCTAAGTGTTATAGAACAAAATTTTTTTTTTTTGCGATCAATACTTACCGAGATATAGAGGTATGAAGTTGACAAAGTGAACCGCTTACGGCAACATCGGTGACTGCCGGTCACTCGGTAATATTGTAAGTACTTTTATTCTACTTTTTTGTTTTATTTCTTAATATTTTATTTTTTCAAGTAACTTTTATGGCCTTTGAGACCAATATAAGGTATATTGTATATATATTCACTGCACAAACATTGTTGTTATTATATTGACAGAGCCTGTTAACACAAACCAACAATAAAAAAAGTTGTTTATTACTATTGTTCTATAATATATTTACACATATATAGTCACTGGACACATTCCTAGGACTGCTACAGCTAGTGGAAGCTTGTTGTTGTGAATATGCTGAGTCAGCAGCGTGGCTGGTGTCACAATGACGCATTACACAACCAACACACCATTTTCCACAACACACCATCTTCCCCAACGCCACCATCTTCCCCACCACCCACATGCAAACAAGTCATTTTGACTTTTTTGGGTTATCCTAGGTAATCTACACATATGCTGTTATGTTGTTTACACAAACCCACGCTGTATTCCCAACCACAGACGCTCCCTTTCTCAGTAGTAGTAACCAGTTACCAGTAACCAGTGTACCAGTAGATGACTCACTACCAACCGTCTCTGCCAGAGTCACTGTCTGTATTCATATTGCCGCTGACCTCAGCAGTATTTCAAAGACCCCCACATATGGGTAC